TCGAGCTTTATTATAATACTATCACTACTATTTCACTGCAGTGAAAATAACACTTTGACGTAACCATTGTCATACAAGACTTACCTCCCCTTAAATTGTCTCCCTTTATCGTAAGTGTCAAGCCCGAACACAAACTGTTGACGTCATTTTTACGTTAGTTTCATATTGTCATTTATGGAGATAATGTCACTTCTTTCCCTTTGTTAATCTCTCGAAAATGTTTCGTTATGAACTGTAAATTTCTCATTTAATTCATCATTCGAGACAGCTGTTCGTTTCGCAAAGCGCCAATTTTGTTACTTGAATCTGGAAAAGCGTTGTAATTTCGCTTCCGACATCGGTCTCCTGGTTTTCAAGAATATCTTTTTGTTAAAGTGGACTTTGAATATAACCATAAATATTATCTAAATGTATGATAAAGAATGTTCGTGACCCTAAATATGTTTGGATACTTTTGTTTATATTTTAAAAGATTTTGAAAACACGAAACTACATTTCAAGTCGCAAATCCAAGGATTTGTAAACCGTACCTGTATGTTAGGTAGGGAGAATTTACGTTTCAAGATTTTACATTTGTAATGAAATAATTTCAATTTCCGGTAGACAACTACACAGTATATGTAAATAGGATAGTTCATGTGTTGAATGAAATATCATGTTTCTCTCATCGAGTGACGGAGGAAAGGAGCTATTTCCACGAGTGGCATAGCAACCAGTGAAACTATCTTTTTTCCCCCGTCCCGAGAATTATCCTCTGTTTCCATAGTTCGATATAAGCGAATATGCCATAATGCTGATAATTATCATATCAGACCTGAAATGCAAAGCCCTGACGCTATAAACACACGGGCAACAATATTCCTCAGTTGATTTTATCATATGTTTGGTCTGTAGTTGAAAGTATCTAACAATTAAGTTAGCGATATTATCATCCAAGAAATGAACTGTTCTGGCGCTGTCAGCATTCAAACGGTACTGCTACATGATTATATTTTTATTTTTTAAAACATAATTCTATTTAAAAGTTTTTAACATTAAAAAAAATCGCATAATACCTCAACCGAGACATCTTAGTCTTCAATGAACCAATTTACTTTAACACAAAATTACCCAGCCAATTTTTCTACAAACTGTTGCAGGAATAGGTGCTGGTTAAATGGACATAATAAAATTTACCAACAGCTCATTCAATTTTCAGTTACATAAAACTCGGTACTCTTTCTTTTTCTCCGTTTATCCAAATAATAGTCGTCGTAGAGGTGTCATAGTACATCTCATATATTATATAGCAGCCCTTACAGATTGATATAATTCATTTCTAACCATGCTATTCATTGCTAGACCTTTGCAGGTATTTAACGGCTCATATGGGAGTGGAAATTACATACTATAAGTCTGGTGGACAACGTACTTCAGTCAGGACATCGATAACACTGCTTTGTTTTATGAAGGTTGAATCTCTTTGTGTCTGGCATTTAATACCTTCGTTAACCATCAAACACAATTGACGGTATATCACTCCCCGGTCGGCTTTGAAATATAATCTGTATGGCACTTATTTCTCAGCAATTCATGTAGATTGCTTTTTAATAGAGATGAACTGCTAAACCTCACGGCTTCTGAAAAACGTAATTGGGGATTGTGGGACTTACGTTTGTACTAAGAAACGTCTTCCTAAGTAACGTCTGAAAGGTTCAACACAACATCGTTGACCACAGTGACGTTGCACAGACTGCCATCATGTTGTTGACGGATATTCCACTTATGCGTGAGCGGAAACAGTGGGAGCATGTGTGTAATACTGTCGCTAGATTGTGCCACATCTTGTCTATCAAATAAACATAAACAAATAATTTCAGAATAGGTTATTTTTTGGTTTGGTTTGTTGTTTTACGCCACACTCAGCAATATTACAGCTATATGACGGCGGTCCGTAAATAATCGAGTCTGGACAAGACAATCCAGTGATTGACATCATGAGCATCGATCCACGCAATTGGGATCGATGACATTCAGAATAGGTAACGTTAGTGGTTACAGATTTGAGTTAGCAAAATCTACTTCTAATAAAAATGAACACTGCATCATAGAATGTTCAAAACAATAAAGGGCGCCCTGGGTGAGCCTAGTGGTTCAGCATTCACTCGTCACGCCGAAGACCCGGGTTCGATTCCTCATGTGGGTCAGTGTGCGAAGCCCGTTTCTAGTGTTTCGGCCTCGATAATGCTGGAATATTGCTTAGAAGCGGCGTAAAAGCGGCGTAAAAGCGGCGTAAAAGCTGATAATATTACAACTCAACCAACTGATCAGTTGACAATCAAAGTATGTTCTCAACTCCCTAGGGAGTATTAGATATCGGTATCAGTATACTTGTGTTTCCTGATTCAATACGTTGAGGTCGAAGCTATTGTTATCATTGCTTTGTCGAGAACATTTTTTGTTTTAATGGCCTGTGGAACCAAGCTGTTTGCCGTAACTAAAGTATGCTTTGATCATTAGACTTGGCCACTCTCTCCTCACGTGATATGTCGCCCAACGTCCAAACGTGATCGTTATATGAGTTTTGAAAGCTCAAAAGTATATGAGACACGTCTGACGCCGCTTTCATATAGCTCAGCCACATCGCGACAATGAAACCACACATGGGGTTGACACATCAAAATCTGACCCACAGGTGAATGGATACATGTGAAAATCTCCTTCTCATCTGCAATTATAATTATTGTTTCACGTTTATTGACTATTTCCCACCAATTGTTCGATTGTTCAAATTTCATTGTTGGCGATGAGACCCAAAATGATGTCCTAAGAACGATTGGTCGAAAAAATAAATATGACGTCATTTATTGTATATGGCGGTATTTATTATCATGACGTCATAGAAGGGATTTATGTGACGTCGTTCCAACAACAGACTGTCATGATATCTCCACTTGAGAACAGAAAACACATAATTGTTAAACTCTTTTAGAAAGAAGACTTGGCTAATATTGAAAGTAACCCACTCGTAACTCGGAATTACGGATAATCAGTCCCTCAGGAAATAATGTTGAAAGGCTCTTGCCATGGCTCGGGATTTACGCCATTACTTCATAATCAGTAATCTCTCGTCGCTCGTTGTATTATCTCGAAACATATTATGAGGCGAGTCAACATAAACAGTCTTCTTCATTACACTAGGGCGCACGTGTGGCCCAGTCGTCTAAGGCGCCGTGATTCGCTGTGCAGAGTTGCGTCCCGTGGACACGCCAGAAACCTATGATTGTGGGTTCGAATCCCGGTTCGCCCCGATTATGTTTCTAGGTTTGTCAGCACCATACCCGTGCTCGTGGGTTTCACCGAAGTGATAAACGTCTGAGACCTGCATCACTTCGGGCTTTCCTCCCATATTAAGCTGACACGCCGTGATATAATTGGAATACTGTTAAAAGCGGCGTTAAACCCAACTCACTCACTCACTCACTTCATTACACTAAGGAGCTCATCGCATACTAACTGGAAACATGCGGGAGACAGTATACGACTTCATTTGACTGGGATATTTGCAAGGGCGGTGGGGTAGCCTAGTGGTTAAAACGTTCACTCTTCACACGGAAGTCCCGGGTTCGAATCCCGACATGGGTACAATGTGTGAAGCCCATTTCTGGTGTCGCCCGCCGTGATATTGCTGGAATCCATGCTCACTTACATGCGAGTAGACACAAACTTAAAACTACATCGAGACCTTATATAGATGAGATAGATTAATTTCTTTACCCAACTAACAATTGTCATAAATAATCATGGATTTGAGAATGAAGAAGATACTATTCATTGAGAACGTTGAATAAGGTTTTCACATCGATAACAATAAACGGCGGTGTCTTCGTGAGATCTGCAAACTTTTTTTCCAAAACCAGTACCGGTTTTTAGTTTCTGTCCGAAATCCTCATTCGAAGTTCATTTTCGATGAAATATAATACAGTAAACTACGGTTATAACGAACTCAAAGGGACCACTAATTTGTTCGTTTTAACCGTAGTTCGTTATAAGCATATATAAAGCATAACAACAGCAAATAGTCGGGACAAAAAAGTAAGTTCGCTATATCCGTCAGTTCGTTATAAGCGTGTTCCTTATAAACGTAGTTTACTGTATACGTATCTGGACGTAGGTAATTAAGGATGAGATCGGTAAATAGATGTTACAATTAGTTTATGATGTGTAACCAGTCGGTGATATAGAAGTGTGCTGTAAATCGTACACCGCCCATTGGTAGACTTTTCTAACAGTAACCTCCAGTGAGTGAGTGAGTAGTGTTTTACGCCGCTTATTCAGATTATCCCAACAATATTACGGTGGGGGACACCAGAAATGGGCTTCACACATTGTACCCATGTGGGAAATCAAACCCGGATCTTCGGCGTGACGAGCGAACGCTTTAACCACTAGGCTAACCCCATAGCCCCAGTAACCTCCAATAGTGATAAATACAGAAAAACGTATATTAAGCGGTGCAGGGATGAGAGAATATGGTACTCGCAGCTAGAATAAACAATACTCTACGTTCAGAAATATTCTGTGATTACTATCTTTATCGACCCGTGAAGATTCCGGGGTAGAATAGGTCTTCAGCAACCCATACTTGCCGTAAAATGTGACTATGCTTGTCGTAAAAGGCGACTAACGGGATCGGGTGGTCAGACTCGCTGACTTGGTTGATGCATGTCATTGATCCCAATTGCGTGGATCGATGCTCATGATATCAATCACTGGATTGTCTGGTCCAGACTCGATTATTTACAGACCGCCGTCATATAGCTGGAATATTGCTGAGTGCGGCGTTAAACAACCAACCAACCAACCAACCAACTATCTTTATCAGGAATTTGTCTCCATGTTCTCCTAGCGTTTGTTGATCACGGAAACATATGACATCGACGTCACCGATTGTTTGTTGACGTGATTGAATTCGAAAGTGACATTAGAGTTCGTTAATAACTTAAATGCATTTATTTCAGGTGCCGTCGTAGAGGTTTCGCCGCTGTATCCTAGTAAGGACGTCGCAGTACCCGACACTCAATGTCGACCTTGACAGCTTCATTGCGACGTCACTGAAGACATCAACGATGACAACAGCGTCCGTGACGGCACTGATCCTGCTTGTTTGTATGGTAAGGCTCGTTGTGTGTCACCACTATCAGAAATGTACACATATTTACATCTCTCCACTCAAATACATTTCGTGACGATTGTCAGGTCTTCATTGCTCCTCTCTTGTTCTTGATGAAGATTCAGTCAAAAATTCCGAATATTGTGAGCGTTTGGAATTGGGTTAGAATATGTCTTCAGCGACCCATTCTTACCGTAAATGGCGACTATTCTCGTTGTAAGAGGCGACTAACGGGATCGGGTGGTCAGGCTCGCTGACCAGGTTGATGCATGTCATCGTATACCAGTTGCGTAGATCGGTGCTCATTATGATAATCACTGGTTTGTCTGGTCCACACTCGAGCAGTATTTGCTGGAATATTGCTGATTGCTCTGTTAAACAACAAACAAACAACCAATGAAACGGGGGATGTGAGCAATGAACACTGGTATTTATTCAAGTTGATGTCCCAAACCGTAGTCGTCCCGAAAACTGTTTTTTTGACAAACATGGTGTTACTGTATCACTTGCTCAAGAACGCAAGATCTGTATAAAATTGATGTTTTTAGAGTGATGACATATCTATACTAAGTGTTATTGTTAGCTGTCACCCGATCTCAAGGGGTACATGGTGTGATGTACTCCGTGTGTGTGCCTATAGACCCCTAGCCATTAGGGTACAATGACCCACGCACAGGGTACAATGACCCCCACACAGGGTAAAATGACCAACACACAGGGTACAGTGACCCCCACACAGGGTACAATGACCCCCACACAGGGTACAATGACCCCCACACAGGGTACAATGACCCACACACAGGGTACAATGACCCACACACAGGGTACAATTACCCCCACACAGGGTACAATGACCCACACGCAGGGTACAATGACCCACACACAGGGTACAATGACCCACACACAGGGTACAATGACCCACACACAGGGTACAATGACCCACACGCAGGGTACAATGACCCACACACAGGGTACAGTGACCCCCACACAGGGTACAATGACCCCCACACAGGGTACAATGACCCCCACACAGGGTACAATGACCCCCACACAGGGTACAATGACCCACACACAGGGTACAATTACCCCCACACAGGGTACAATGACCCACACACAGGGTACAATGACCCACACGCAGGGTACAATGACCCACACACAGGGCACAATAACCAACACACAGGGTACAATGATCCACACACAGGGTACAATGACCCACACAGGGTACAATGACCAACACACAGGGTACAATGACCCACACACAGAGTGCAATGACCCCCACACAGAGTACAATGACCCACACACAGGGTACAATGACCCACACACAGGGTACAATGACCCACACACAGGGTACAATGACCCACACACAGGGTACAATGACCAACACTCAGGATACAATGACCCACACATAGGGTACAATGACCAACACACAGGGTACAATGACCCACACACAGGGTACATCACACCTTCTGTCCTGAGGGATCGGTTGTCTACGTTGTTTATCGCCGACATTCATTCATACAGACGCGGTTCACTGAGTAAAACGCCATTCAACCATTTTGACAGCTGGCAGGCGACGCAAACGAATTGGGTTACTTCCCTTCACCCAATGCATTGCGATAAACATCGGTTCAGTTCGGTTTAAGGTAATCCGATACATATGCGAAAAAAGCAAGTTACCTAAGGTGTGTTCCGATTGATTTCTCAGCCGGGTACATATCAGCGGGCTTCATCGAGAATAATTGCCTGCTCCTTAAGCAATTAGAAGCTAGTATTTTAATGTAAGGTGAAATCATTCATATTAGACCAAAATATAGTTTGGTCGATGCATGTATATATAGTAACATGGTTGGGAATTACACCACTCTATAATCCAGGTTCTGAACCTTCCGAAAGGTTTCCGGTAATAAAGTCTCTTACCCCCTTACTTAAAAATCTCTTCACGGACAAAGTTATCAATTATGAACTGAGACCATATCTTGCCCTCGCGCTGTGAAGGAAGGTTCATACTCAACTAAACTCACATAAAAGTAAAAGACACTTTTATGACTGCTAATGTCATTTCTCATTGCCTTAAAACTAAACCATTTCAGCCGCTACGTGTAATCATGTACACACAGTCATATAACGACCAATTATGTCGCGCAAAAATACTTCCTCAAAACGATCGATAACGTGAGCGTATGGATGGTCAACATGGTCAACATCATCAACAGAATCATCCTCTGTAATTTCGTTGAGGGGGAGGTACTCCATGATGGCATACCGGCAACGATGACTAACAATGCGTAAGACTCACGCGCCCAAACGCCTCTCACAAACCTCTTTCCGACTAGATCACAAAGAACCGACCATTTGATATTGTTTGGTGTGGTTGGGGGTTGTTGGTGGGGTGGGGGTTGTGATTCATTCAGTCTCCCCAACCCCAAGAATATGTAATGGGGGGTTCCTTTTGAGCATGTGTTTATGAATCACTGTCAGATAGTGATGGTATCACTCACTCACTCACTCACTCACTCACTCACTCACTCACTCACTCACTCACTCACTCACTCACTCACTCACTCACTCACTCACTCACTTCACACTTCACATTTTATCCTATGGTCAACATGTATGTTAACGTCACTTGAAGATATTATCACAAATTTAATAAAAACGGGTGTTACCCTTGAATTAATGATTTCACTGATTACCAAATCACTCATTCACATAGGGGCGGGGTAGCCTTGTGGTGAAAGCGTTCGCTCCTCACGCCGAAGACTCGGTTTCGATTCCCGACATGGGTACAATGTGTGAAGTCCATTTGTGGTGTCCCCCGCCGTGATATTGCTGGAATATTGCTAAAACGGCGAAAATCCATACTCACTCACTCATTCACTGATATTTGTTGATAAATTACCGTCATCTGTCGTCCCATACTCATCTGGGGATAATTCACAATTAAAGACCAAGGTCGAGCCTTCTAACACTGACTCGTTTGAAATATTGTTGAATGTGATCTTGCAGTGAACGCCATAGTAGGAAGACTCCCTTCAGAATGGGACTCACTAAGATGTAATTAACATGTCTGGCGTTCTGACAGTGACGTGTAATTGCGACATTGTGGGGGTGAATGTCAACAAGAAGTTATTGATATGCAACACTGAAATCGAATTATTTTGCATTTACGTAAGGTGATCGACATATTGATGAATTCGTTTCCACCAAAACAATGTATTTCTGGGCAGGCCTCTAACGTAAAAACCATTCATACTCCTGATAAATGACAACAAGCAGACAACAAACATCACGTTGTGGTATCCACTTACTACTAAATATAACATCAAACTACGCAGTATAGCATATATATCTTCCCATTAATACAATATTTCTTATAAATATACATGTGTGTGTTGGTGATGGATGTGGGATGGTGGCGTGTAGGAGGTGGGTCAATGGTATTGGGGTTGGGGTACAATTTACATCAAGTAAACTACCGGACAAAAGAAAGCAAACACTTGACTCCCCAATTACAAACGTAATGAAACCGTTACTAGTCTGAAAACAGTCACCAAAACACTGCAAAGGCCCAAAACCTGACTATAATACCCGTATCAAATACATCGCCATCAAATAACCATTTCTTGGTGGTTTCATTTTTGGCCATCATCAAACATGATGTATACTTTCTTTTGCCCTGTATCGTCTAGCAGCTTTCCCTCCACAATAGCTCTATAAGTGGTACATAAATACAAACTATGTTTCGAGATTATGGACAAATGTTGTGTTATTTGCCAGATTACTAATAACACAGTCATTGTTATATTTCTTGCATGTGGCTTCTTACGAACAACAAGACAGTTTAGATTTAGAACCATTGTTAGAATCATCTAAAGGACTACTAAACAATCCACATTCATGTCTGTAAAAAGTGTTCGGAACAGATGTAAACGGTTTATTTATTTATTAACTATGTTTATTGTCTGATAATCGCACTCATCAATAACAGTCACTATGGTTACGGGTAAAGTAGCCGAGAAAGATGCCTCCCATATCTCGTTCCTCTGTTTAAGACGTAGATAATCTCTAATTATTCATTCTAATCCTTGTCGTAACGTACTTCCTTGTCTTTCGGGCATAGGATCTGACTTGGGAGTCGTTTAAATGACCTTAAATCCTTCCCTGGGGGTGTTCATCAGCCTTCACCTCCCTCGCTCTCCGGGACGTCGTTGTTGCATGAAACAAGCGCTTAAACAGCGTTGAATGGAAATATTTGAAACAGCACAATTTCTTTCCAACTACGAATTGGGGTTTAGCGAATTTCTGTCACAGAAGTCACGCACACGTCGATGTACGCATCACCAAAGATTGGAGTATCGATTACTAAATATTTTATTTCATTTTCAAACGAGTTTCAATGTCAGCCGCTAACCGGTTAGTTTTTCATGTTTTTTATATAAACTGGGAAATGCTCCGTGTGAAATTAACCCTCAACCACAGTAAGTAGCCCATAGGAGTGGAAATATGGACAAACGCTTGCTGGCATGTTCATCGTGTGATTGCGCCAGATGAGTGTTATAACTTGAAACCGTTATTTTCGTCACATACAAAGTGTGTTGAAGATATAAATTTGTGAGTGAATAAGTGCGTGAGTGAGTGCTCAATCAATATCACATCCCTAGATTTGACAGTGAGCGAGTAAGTGCTCCATCAATATCGCTTCTAGAGATGTGACAGCGAGTAAGTGCTCCATCAATATCACGTCTAGAGATGTGACAGTGAGTGAGTAAGTGCTCCATCAATATCACATCCTTAGATTTGACAGTGAGCGAGTAAGTGCTCCATCAATATCGCGTGTAGTGATGTGACAGTGAGCGAGTAAGTGCTCCATCAATATCACATCCCTAGATGTGACAGTGAGTGAGTAAGTGCTCCATCAATATCACGTCCAGAGATGTGACAGTGAGCGAGTAAGTGCTCCATCAATATCGCGTGTAGTGATGTGACAGTGAGCGAGTAAGT